GGACCAGGTGATCTCGAAACACTAACTGTGTTTGGCTCAAGGATAGACTGTATTAAGGCAAATATGGGAACGTGTCCGGGTACCGGTGTTACGCTTGGCTGAATCTCATCTAGAGACATTGTGAATCTAGATAGCGAATGATGGGACTTAAGTGTTACGCGTCTGAGCTCTCCATCTCGTGGCCATTCAAATGATCAGTCCAAAATGAATCTACTAACGATTAGCAATAACACCATAGTCGCTTTTCTGCGTCAGTTGCAACAAAATACTCGTAAGACATATTGATGTGTGAAAATCTAATAATAATATTACTAATACTAATAATAATATGGTAACTGAGAAACTGTGCTCATAAAGGGATGGGTCGGGTTTACATATACAACATTCTTACGCATGTAAGGTTGTCAATGGTTGGGGATTACATCAGGATACATTAGGGAAGTTCTTGTGAAAACCTTCATTTGGGGCTTTCATTGCCATTTCCTACCAGTTCACGGGTATTCTCAGAAATATTATTCCGATGAAGGTCAAGGTATCATGATGATGACCGGTTCGTGGCAGAGAAAGAACATGAAAGGGAAGAAACCAACTGGAACCGTCAACTAAGATCAGACGAGAAATATACAATCGTGCATAATAGACTAGAATTGTAAGGATCAAGTTGTTGTATTAGTAGCAGAAGGCCTGTCGTTCGAATAATTGTACTCAGGTGAGAAAGCAAGGAAAAAATTGTAATTAACACATAAGCGTAGCACCAAATGAGTCTTCAAAGATTCAGCCGCGTTAGAGGAGTAATGTAAGAGATCATAAACACAAGCGGGAGTTAAGACAAACTGAGGATCGTATGCCTCCCTAACTGTATAAATTGGATTAACCTGATCATTCAAGAAGACTTACATATCCCTGAGTCATGGTGCCACACGTGGGTGCTGAACCTGTAGGCTAAAATATCATGCATCATCTCTCACGGCTGTTCCATCCCCGAAGGATATATGGCAGTTAACCAGGAACACGACCCTACACAGGCGTCCACGCGTGAAGCCGGAATTAGGTACTCAACTACCTTCAATTTCTCCGAGCAAGCCCAACACCAAGAAATACGTACCAGACAAGCTGTGTTTAGTATAGATAACAAAATCCACAAAACACGTGCTAAAGTTGAGCTATTTAATCTACTTACCTGTCCCATCCTCGAATACTACAGCATAACATTTGGTAATATGAAAAAGAGTTTGTTAGGAAGGAGAACTCTAAGCAAACAAGGGAGGCGCCCATCGCCTTACGGAGCTAAGGTATGGCAGGCGGGCCAAACTCGCCCGCACTGAGTGCGGTGAACAGATAGCCAACCGAGTGAAGCGGCCAATTAACACGATGGAGGCATTGCTTGATCGGCCGTAAGCGGACCCTTCTGGAGTTTTCCACGTAAGCTATAACTACCATACACGAATTTCGATTTTACCTTGTTAATGAACGGTATGATTGGGTAATACTACTTTGTTCCTCTGCTCCCCGGTCCGGTCTCCTCTCTCTTGTGAGGGCCAAGCGACCTCGAGCTCCGATTGAGAATCAACCGTCAATTAGGGCGAGGGACGACCACTTCAGAGTTACAGAATTGTAGTGAAACATCTACAGAAGTCTTTAACCAGAGATCGGATTAGTAAGCAATTCGCCCTGAATTATCGGAGCGTTGAAACGAACTGCAACTCTAAATACTTTGAATTAGACGAGTGAAATATAGAATTTTGATGCTTTGTAACTTGCCTGGCTGGATTTCTCAAAAATGTTCGACCAGCTGGACCACCACATTCTACTGCACAAAATCCGGAATTATGGTAGCGGCGATCCCGTTCTGGGATGGATAGGAGACTTTCTCGTTCATGTCACCTCAATGTGAGGGTTCGCAGTACCCAGTCGGAACCAATGCAAGTTCAGTGCGGCGTACATAATGTCTCGGTGCTCAGGCCCGCCTATTCCTGGTCTTCATAAATGATCTCACAACTGTGCTGTCTTAAAACTGTCTACTATGTGTCGATGATCCAAAGATATGGCGTGCTATCGCGCCAGTGGAAGATAACACAGCACGCAAGATGAGCTGGACATAGCGTACTCATGGTTCATGGAGAACAGAGCGCTGTTCAACGTCGACAAGTGCAAAATTTTGAGCAAACGCTATGAGAGTACTCACAACTACCGCCTAAGACGACAAATTCTACAGCGGGCGTCTCATGATGCGATTTCTGCGTGCTCGTCCAAGAGGAACTTGGGTGTTTGAGTGCGGCTGAAATGGCACTTTGGTCTTCTTCGCATAGATTTCGGGAAATTTCACGCCTCGATCCTTCCGAAAAATCTTAGCGCGTGAAACTGCACGCAGAATATGTTATCTAAGCGTGGTAGCCCTGAAAGAAACACTATCTCACCGTGCTCAATATCGCACAACGCAGGGCGACAAAGAACGTCAGATGTTTGTCCCGTTTTCTCTACCCACTCAGACTGAAAACTCCCAAAAGATACTGTGGACAATATCGGCGTCTAGGGGGCGGTTTCATAATAGTGTATTAGATCTGTGGGAACGCTGGTTAGGTGCGGAGTTCGCAGTTAATGTTCCATCATCTTTGGATGCCATAAAGAAGTAAAAGCGTGTATTCCCATTGTTGTATTTTAATTCCCCCACGAATAATCGCGCAAGAACATGAAAAGAAGCGTGATGCTGGTAAAGCTTCTTCAGCTAGTCAGCTTTAAAGTTCTATAATTGATGATGTGTTGGGTGGAAGATTTGAACATTGGTCGATATGGCTGGTGTAAATGTCAGTTGATCAAATGGTATCCTACTGGTGACTTGTGTTGGTCAAAATGCGTGATTGTCCAACAGATCCTAAAATGCCCCGACTACGCATGTTACTCTCTTTTGGAACTCAGTCAAAACGCATCTCTAAGAGTTTATCTGTAGGGTCATCTGTCTAAGCTAGCCACGTATTACAGCCGATTGGTATGTCGACGAAACATTTTCTTCCTCCGAGTTAGACAGCCATGGGACACACTTTTGGCGCATGTAATAAATGTCTTCATCTTATCCCTTTTCAAAAAAGCTCCTCGACGATACCCTTACACATTGACACTTTGTGATATAGCATATGACCATCAGATGATGGCATTAGTGCACAACAAACAGTGAACGGTGTCTTAAACATTCTAAACTCCAGGCATGAATAATCGCACATGTGCTACTCCAAACCCTTTGGTGAATGATGTATCCTACACGATCTTTTACTGGCACCGTCCTTTTGTATTATTTTAATTTTCACCCTAACCATCCTACGAGACATGTCAAGTGTTCGCTTTTATACTCGTCATAAACCATTGTTCCACTACGGACAACTGTTAAACATATTGCTGACTTGGTAAGAGCCCTGCTGCCTCGCCCGTGGCCAGAGAAGATTTTCGGACTGGACAGTTTCCACGGGTCTGAAGCAATCTGTACAGAGCAGGCTAATGTAGGCGCTGTAGCAAATAGCTTCAAGGAGAATGTTAAAGAGAACAAAGTGGCCTACGTTTATACCATCTGTGTGAGCAAAACGTCCTTCCATGTGACAATCTTTCATCGTCATCCCATCACTAGCACAGGACATTAAGGCTACAGTGACAGGACATACTGCAACATGTAAAAAGTCTAGAATCTAGAACAGTAGGGGATTTATTGTTTCCAATAAGCTTCATCGCGTTTAAACTCAGGCCGTATAACGTTTTCTTAGAAGTGTGGTAGTGCTCTGGTCGAGTTTAACTGCGGCGAACCTCTTTAGATACACAAAAATCCCCCGAATACACTCTAACAATAAGTAATCGCCGTAAGAGCTTATATGCCAATGACTGTTGGCGGCACGTAAATGTAGTCGTGACTCCGGGGGCCAGGCCTCTCCTCTGCACGCTCATGACACTGGAGGGTGATCCGTGATCTATCGCAGATAGAATGTAATCATGACAGTCAAGCCGCCGTTATCCATAGCACCGTAGCTTGCACCGCTGACTCGTAAGAGTACGGATTCCTCATGATCCAGCGGATGCGTGTTATCCGTGTGTCTCAATAGGGCGAAATGGCCGTCTGAGCTTTTCTGCATATGTGATGGCTGAATGACTGGGCTGATTTGCGAAGTACTGTTTAGAACTTTGCAAGTGTCAGTGTCCATGCTTCAACTTCGCTTGCTTCAGTGAGACATAATACCAGCATGTTCCAGTGTTTCATTCCCCTTCCCCATACGGAAAACTCGCCGTAGGTCGTGAGAGATAGAAGACATTGACACTAACACCTTCACGGAGGACATTAGACCATGGGCACAATGCGAGTGGACGAGACGGCTGAACACACTCAGTTCCGCCTACATCCGTTTCCTCCAGGTGGTTACTTTGGTTATCAAGCGAGAAAGTCTTGTCAGGAAGGAATAAACGACGATGTAGCTAATGAAATCATATGGGTTGATCTTATCCAAACTGGTGCGATTCCCGCTTACTAGTTACAGTCGCCCTTGAGCTTTAAGCTATCCTAAACTGGATGCCGGCCTGTATCCGAAAGGACAATGCGTCTGTCTTGCAACCCGGAGGTCGCAGATTAGAGCCTATGGGGGGGGGGGACTGGATGACTCCCGTGCGATTAGCGGTGGTTGCGTGGCAGGGAAGCATCGGTGCTGCTGATGATTCGATGATACCGTGTAAGATAGCTCCAGCGACGAAACGATGGTCGAAGACAACCGAAAGGCTATTACTAGCTTATGTGAGTGCTGCGTATTAGGTGGAATATTCGAACTGCTGGTTAGGCGAAAGCGAATGCGTCGCTAGGATTATTCCCCCTAAATGTTGTACGAACCGAGTTCACTAGAGTGGACAAGTAATTTGACAAACTTATAACACCACTCGGAAGGAGTGTTTCCGATCAGACACGGGCGCACCGTCCGTTCATATCACCGCCCGAACCTGAACCCCCATGCTGGGAAGACCGAGTGAAGACAAAACCAGCAAAAAATGTTTTTTTTTACAATTACGAGGCTCGCAAACCGGGGGATATACGGTCTGTATTTGAGTTGTACCATTGAGTACATGTGTGCGTGTGTGTTTGCGCATGAACGACCGAATAGGCGAGGGCAGTTTGATGATTACCACAACACGTATAACAGTCAAGAGGACCATCCGAATCGTAGTCATCGTCGCCCTCGTTTTCGTCAAAGTAAGGTGAGGATCGCTCAAGCACAAAATGAAGACAAAAATCAATGTGGAATGCGGTAAACCAGAGTTGAAATGTGGTAAATCCACCGAGGAAAGAGCATGACGACACAGATAATGTCTACTCACAGAGCTGAATCTATCACATAAAGCTATGCTGAGGTGATACCCGTTAGAGGGAGAATAAAGGAGTGGGTTATGATGACACACGGTGAGTGCGTGTGGTAAGCGTGCATACTTACATACGCACACATATTCCCACAATGGGAGGGATCAGATAAATAGCACAAGCATTCACAAAACAAGGAGAGACGATGAGGCATCTGTCGTGAGTGTACGGTAGAGAAGAAGTAGAGTACTGCTTGGCTAGTAAGATGTAGTCGCTACTGCATGCACAATAAAAGTCGAACGAAGGAGCACTGCAAACTGTCTTCGGACACGAAGGCACAAGGAAATTGACGGGAGCTAAGCTAATATAAACACAGGATGTGGTGGATTCGGTGGCACGGGGTGGAAGTGGATGCGGAACAGTGAGTTTGGATGGGAATGGAACAAAAAAATAGGTAATCTGCGAGTGTTTGCGCGGAAATTATAGGCATGCTGCGTTCAAGGGCCTGGCAGCTGTACAAACAAATGTTGCAGGAATGTTTGGTGCATACAATACATCGGGGGGAGGGGGTAGAGAGAAGACATCACAAAAGAACGCTTGTGCTTTGGAGTGGTGAAGGGGCACTTAGAGTGTGGACTGTTATCAAGCTTAGGTGGGCAATGTTTCACTAGTGCAGGTTACTTTGGGCATAGTGGAACTTGTCTGCAAAGAGGGAGAACGACTGGAAGTGGAGCGTTCTTTGCCCGTGTTGCATCGATTCCCTTCAACCTGTTCACCAGGCGATGGTGTGTCGGTTGCTGAGTCCCGCGACTGACATGCAGAGGCGAAACATGAGGTCGCGGCCGCCATCAAATCGGAGTAATGTGACTCTAATTCAGCAGTAGGAATTGCCATGACATTTCGGCGCAGCGTTTGAATAGCACCAGCAATTTTCACGGCCGGCCCAAGTTTCATACCTAACACGTGCATTAGATCGTGCTGTTCCAGGCAAAGCAGAGCGGCACCGTCGATCTCCTAAACACAAAATACAAAGGCAAAACGATACAGCTAGCCTACTGAGGATAAAACAAAACAACGTAAGACCAGAAGGACTGCAACAAACTATGGACATAGCAGCCTAATTGTGAATCAAAATTAGCATAGAAGCGATTTCAAAAGGAGCAGGAATGATTTAGGAAGCTTGAAAAGTCGCTGGTCGCTTGGGTGCTGAAGCACAGCACCTGACCAGGTGTCCAAAAGAGTGAGCTATTGAACCAAATCTCGGCATCTGATGCCATTTCGAGGGTAGCCATCCAAGCACTAGATGACAAACGTAGCTGGAGGGCTATATCGCAGTTAGCTTGCAAGTCCTGACGGTCTGCCGCTGCTGGCCAGCAGTGTAAGCTACAAGTGTTCACGGTAGTGATTATTGATGGATCAAGGGATAAGCACCAATGGCAAGTCCCGGTAGGACAAAACGGACGTCCGGTGCATTTCTGGATGCATGGCCTTATTTCTAGCTTGAAAACTGCTGCAATAAAGTTGATATATTTTTCCAACCAAGTGAACGTGACGGAGATTCACAGCGGTTTAATGACACGTCTGGAGTCCAGTAAAGTCAAAGTAGCTATATGTACCCGGGTAGGAGTAGTGACAAAATTTTGTACTACCAAATGCAGAAGGACTAAAATCGCATCATCATCAAAAATGTAAGAATTTACAAATGTAAAAACAAGAAGGAGGAGTGCACAGGTGTCACACGGAGAGAATGGGTATAGTGCTCCACCTCCTAACGACCGCACACTACTGGGAAGAGTCACCAGGATTTTTAACCGGTTGACAGAGCAGAGTTTAACCAAAACATCTTGGTAACTGGCTTTAATTCGCCTGTAATTTTGTTGCAGAAAGCAACAAATCGCGAACTGTGCGCAGCATCACCATGTTTTATTTATCAAAAACTCGACGGGATAAGACGCTCAGGGACCTTGGAAGAAGAAGTAGATATATTCCTACAAAAGGTAAATATCCACCATAACGAAAAACCATGTCGGCAAAAATCACAACGACCAAATGTAAAAGTCCCGAGTGGTAATTCTAAGCAGGAGAAAAGACTACACTGCGGAACAACAAGAGTAACAACAGGAGATATGGTCAGCGACTCTATAAGATACGAACCTAAAACAGTTGGAATATAAGCACTAAATTGCTTCGAGATAATTGTGCAACAAACAGCATTATAGTGAAAATTCTAGTGTAACACTCAAAGCCCACAAATACCAAAGTAGGAAGCAGTGAGTATAAAGAAAATAACTATCGGATGAAATAGACAAGGAGTCAGGCCACTTAGTTAGCTGACGAGCGAAAAACTGATCGCAGGTTTCTGTGCAATTACTAAGGATGATTAAGCTCTTGTAACAAGCATGACAATTTTTTGGTAAGGGACAGTAGCCAATACATACGCCGTTAAATCCGACTACTCGGAAGAGTCAGTAGTATACCAATACACAATACGCGCTAAAAATTAGTATCTGGTAGGTAGTGGCAGCGAGAACACGATTAACAACATCTTCTGCGACTGTGTTCATTATACTATTACAACTGGCAGGTAGAAAAAATCAAGAATTCGCTCACATTTTCCGTAAATTTGCTTGCAAAAGTCTTGCATCCCGGGAGTGTATTCACGAAATTCCGAACCATTTCCACGGTCCAAGAATGCGGACCTGGTAGACCAGCCAATTTCGACGCACGCAGTGCAGCGCTGGCTTGTGGAAGCAAACGCGCCATCAAGTCTAATTCGTTAGAAACGGCGTACGGGTCTGAATTGCTAGTCATCCCCATGAGGTTGTGCGGGCGATATGTATCAGCATTTAAGGGAAATGAAGACACACGCGGATCCAAGCACATTTGCTGAGGCAGACAAAAAGCCGCCGTTGCGGAATGCATAGGGACACATGACCGAGTCAGTGGATCCGAAAACCAATTGGGAAACGAGGTGGAATCTGGAAATTTATTCAATGCAACGGAAGAGCTTGGATCGGCTAGTTTGTTCGAGACACTCTCAAAACGAGAAGTAGCAGGCTCCAAACCAGCAGGCAAATTGTTTGAGGCGTACAACTCGCATGAAAAGGCCGTAGTTTGTACAGCAGGCACCTCAGAGATGTATGTAGACTGAAGAGTACCAAGTGGCAACTGAGCGCTGGAGTCAAAAGCGTTTGGAGATCGTGCAATGGCAGGTTCAGTGCCGCTTGAATGGGGACCCGAAGTGTTGTTTGCCAGTGTACACCCAGGTGAGCTGGAATCGGCGTTCCAAGTGATTGGTGAGGATGTTTGAGCAATCTGCACCTGATCGGTGCCATGCACTGGAATGGATGTACTTGGAAACAATAATCCGGCAGAGTATAGGCCGGGAAGAGAGGCGCCGACGGTCAGCGGAGTGTAAATGGAGAATGTTGGCATAACTGGTGAGTTCATCATTACGGGCGCCGTGGCTCCAGTGGTGGTGTGGGTCTGTTGTAATCCGAACGTCGAAGACGAATCGGAGAACGGAATTCCGGGTAGACTGTTTCGACCGGATGAGACCGACGGCAGTTGCACGGCTCTGGAATTGTGGGGTGGAGCGTGGAACATGCCCAGTGTGGTGTACTTACGCGGTCTACCCCGCTTGCGTTTCATCGGTAAGGCAGCCAAACCAAAAAGCTGCTGCTGACGCGCATACTCGTTAGCAACGTTGACCATTTGTGAAAGTCTTGGTTTTGGTTCCTGCTTCGGAAGTTTCGGATATTCTGAGTTGGCACGTTTCGTACCGGTCGTTGCGGGTTTGTTGGGGACAGAGTCCGGAAATATTGCGGCAGACGACGAGATGTCGAATGTGTCCACACAGTTGTGAGTTGCTTCCGTGGATAAAGTGGATAAGCAATTGCCCTTCGTGGGATTTAGACTGTAACATCAGACAAGAAATACACATGAAAAGTTGGATGGGGAAAAACTAGTGGAACATGTGGCCCCTAGCAACAAGTCAGGGCTGGGCTTCTACACTTTTGTATAATTCCGTTCAATCTAATATTCATAAAATTTACAACAGTTCAGCCGCATGAAATCATGTAATCTGAGTTAAACATACAAATAATTCAGTAAAACAACTATGGTCAGTGCATGGAACTTGTTTTGACTTATCTGGACAGAATAACAGTAATGCTGATGACAAAGACAAAATGTAAAGTAGATGAGCAGGAAGCGTAACAGAAAGATCAGTTAAAAGGAAGAAATTAGAGAACGAACAAAGCAACACATTTGATTCCTTGATCGTGCCATAATCGGTGATGGGTACCGTATGATAGAAGACAACAGAAAATCTGCTAAGTCCCCAACTGTGGACCCCAAAATACTCCAACTCAGGTCGAAAAGAAGAACACCAAGACAAATAGGAAGTGTGATTCTTTACATCAGAAAATGCCACTGTTTCTAAAACAGTCAGCCTAGCAGGCGAGCAGCAGTTAAGACCAACCAAGACACTGAAAACAATAGGCTCAGCGAGCCACTAAGAGAGCAGTTACATAAAGCACCAGCCAGATGCACTCAGCGTGTGGTAAGTGAGGTTGTTATCTCAGGGGAAAAAGGTGGGAAGCCAAGAGAAACAAAGACTGTTAAGGTGGAACAAGGCAGCCCAAGTGGTTCATTAAAACCTACGTCAACATACGCGCGCAACAAAAATGAATGTTTGCACTTACGAATTGTCACACAGAATACATCCCAATCAGGAGTTTCCCCCTAACAGTTTCATTGAACCAAGTAGTGTTGATAGGTGGTACGTGAATGTGGTTAGTAGGTTTTCGGAGTACATGACTGAGCCACCGGCGACAGTGCAATTGCAGCAGCCACTTCAATGAGACACCGGAAGGTCCCTTGCTGAACATAAGCGTTGCTCAAGGTTCCCAGTAGCTTGATGATTAAGGCGTCAACTTTTAACCATTAGGCAGAGAGCTCGATTTTCAGTTCAGGCTACCTCTAAAAACTGATGAGCCCAAGCAAGGATGAAATTAGTGGCGGGGTGTCAGTGTTGGGAAGAGTAATACTGAAACCATTCCACATAGTCCGCTTCACAGGATGCACCAGTCAATTTCCCAGCGTCCCACGACTTATAGGTAAACATTCAGTTCCCTAAAGGTGAGCAGCGTACACAGGCAGGGAATGTGAAAATATAGAAGAAAGCCTCAGCCGAGAGTAGAAACATGGTCCACCGAACAATAGGGGTAGGCAGTCTGTGGCTTGCTACCAAACGAGGTGTTAGTAGGGTGAACAAAGTGTTTTGAAAGGAATTGTTTTTGAGGTACAATCCGACCAGAGACATTAACCACACAGCCAGAAAATGGCCTGAGTCGGCATCCATGCATACATAAATAACTAAGTAAACCGTATATTGTTCAATTTCGAGAAGCTAAATGCAGGTAGGATTTGATCATTAAAAATATTTAATGCTCTTGTATATGGACAGTTATATATGTTCAAATGTGGACGTTAACTGGCAGGATGGGTAGAAGTGTCGGAGGAATAAAGGTATCCCTGAATTTATTCGGAGTCCCAAGACATTCAGTTAAGCTCAGCCAATTCCATCGTAATTTTCAAGTGCTCATGTCTAGCTGCTTTTGCTGATGTCAACCAAATTTCACAGCGACGCGTTAAGGGAGCTACCATCGGCGGTTCACGAAGTGCAGAGAGAATAAAACACACAAGGAACTCAAACGATGATAATAGCGGAGGATAGCTAGAGCAGAACAAGAGCAACAAGAACCTACGCCAGGGGGTGTGTGGCTGTTGCGTAACGAAAGGACACAAGAACTGGCCGTAATGCTCAGCAAAAGTATCCCTTGCAGCGACGGTGACAATGACAAAGACAGCAGTAGACGTGGCACATCCAGACAAAAGATAAATGTCGTGTGTGTATGCGTTGGTGCGGAAATAAGCAAACTCAGTGGTTTAAGTCCCCAACTTATAAGGAGGGGGTTCCTGGAAAAAATTTAGTAGGATTCCAGGGAGATATGTGCAGTACGCGGTCCCGTACTACATTGTAAGTGATATGACATGAACCGGCTGTGGTGAATCACTTCACTCGATACCTTACTGATGATCCTTACTCGCTAGTCGCTCGAATGTGTCGAGAAGTAGAAAACTTTTAAATAATAATCAGCACGATAGCGTCGCATTGCTCAGCTCTTGGAAAACTCTTCCGAGTGACATTCAGTAACCTGGTAGAAAATGAGTATCCTGTTGTATTGTACTGAAGATGGCGAAATTGAGTGACTGAATGTCCACCGTCCACAGGTCGAAAGCAAAGTTGCAACTGCTGTTTACTCGAACGAACTCCGTCAAGCAATTAAGCAGTGGAGCCGGCAATACAATGCTCAAATATCCACATCTTCGCTCCTCACCGCCACCGTTCATCCGTCGAAAATCTAGTGGCAGGTAAGGTATAGATGTACGAAGAGTTAAAACGGTGACAAGTGCTGGTCAAGATCGCTGGCCATGCATCGATGTGGGTTAAGAAGCACACCCCGAAAGGACCGTGTTCACTGCGAGAACACACATAAATGGTGCGTGTATGGATGCGTCACACATACAGGCACCCGGTTTCCTTAATCGCATGAGATCTGTTGGCCGAGATTGAGTGAGTGGAATAGGTGAGAATGTGAAACCAAAAGCACACAACAAGTGGAACCCAGTTCAGCAGAAGGCCAAAATGGTTGTCATCATATGCGTTGAAGCAAATCAGTGTATTCGAAAGGAAACACTGGTTAACACGGTGCTACATCGACAGCGAATCTAGAAAACGAAGCTAAAGTTCATAACTTCGACCGGATTAAAAACTCCATTGCATTTGAACAACGAAGGCAAAGAAATTCAAGCCTATCGTTCATATGAAGTTCCATCACACGAACTCAATTGAGCCTGCAAGTGTGCTATGGTCGAACTTGCCATATCTGCAAACGATTTCAAGATGTAGCATGACACCAAGACAGTGGAAGATCACACGGCGCGGCAGGATCATCTCAACAGGGGCAACACATAGTTACACGAGATAAAGGCCCCAGTTTAACGTGATAAAATACAGTTTGTGCATATGCCATCAGCGTACCCATGAATGTCAACTTTGGGAACAACAGTTACCAGACGCTAGACAGGGAGATGATCACGGAGTAACTGTGCAGGATAACATAGCTGCTCAAAACAAATCGAAAAAGCAGCAAGAATAGCCAGTCAACATCTTGGCCTCCTAAGGTAAGTATTCGGGATGTCCGAGACTTCTATCTTCCCGTATATGTTAAATGCACATGTGAGGTCTCACGTAGAATATGCTATCCAAACCTGGCGTTTCCAAAGCAAGCACAATGTTGATGGGTTAGGAGCTACACGTCGTAGAGCGACCAAAATCGTTAGCGAAGTGCTTCACCTCTCCTACCAACGCGGACTGCAAGCCCTTAGCTTGCACAATGGGACCAACGGTGTCCTCAAGGTGCTTCTTTCATGGCGTGTTCAATACTGCCGAACCACAATAATCATGCCTGTCACGATCTGCTGCAACTCAACCACAATACTAGACTGAGAAGTCATCAGGTCAAAATGCCACGCAGCATAGTCGACTCGATTGCTGACAAATGGTTTTCTTTCTCAGGGTGTCCCAAACAAGGAACGCTCTTTCAACTCCCGTCATTTTGCTCCTACATTAACATATTTCTAAATACGCTATCCTAGTTGCATCACATGACATAGTCCAACTTGATGGGAGACGAAACATCACATAAAGACTATGCTTACCGGGCCTCTCCGTAACGTAGCAGAGAGGAAACCCGCATCTGTATTCCTAGGAATGACATGGTGAATTACCTAAAACCTGAATTTCCTCCGTTTTTCTGTCCTCTTTACCTGTGGTTTCGTAATCCTCATCCCGGTTACCCTACCTGAAATGTCAAACAGCTGCTTTGTTATCCTCTATAAATCAGTGGTCACTGAATGGTGTGCGATATGGGACTCAGTTCCATGGCCTGAAAATTTTCGGGAAGAAATGACTAAAAATATATTCGGCATTAATATTTCTGCATTTAACAGACCTGAGGAGATGAGCAAAGCTTACGCACTGTCCTAACCAAATGAAATTGCCAGCATCGGATAAATCCACATTACCTCGTGCAAAGTGTGAACGTGGGGCGTGACGTAAGCACACACTATTGAATTGAGAGTAAGGGTTGGAAGTTGACTTTACCATTGTCGACCGGAAAATGTCATTGCGAATAAGGGTCACGTGAGTTATATGGTCGACAGTTACAGATCATTAGTGAAAGTATCTGCTACACAAAAAGTCGTAGCTCATGGGGCCAACCTCTGGGCTTTGCACAGTTCATAACTGGCATGGCAGTGGAGGATGTGCGATGCTATGTGGTAGTCAACTGATAGTCGTGCAGGTCCGCGGCCGTCACCCATAGCTTAGTGGGAGAAGCCGCTGGCACTCGGAAGCCATAGGGTCTGAACCCGGCAGAGGTCCGAGGATGGAGTATGACTGACGAAGTCAAGAAGGTTGAAATAACTGTCTGGTGCTTTTCCAGACGTGTCGGAGCCTATTGATTGAGACGGGACTGCGACCAACTAGTTCTGACATCAGTGAAAGTAACTGCGAAGTTTTTGGTACACGGCGACAACAAATTGAAAACCTTCTCGCATGTTAAGGACACAGTGATTTGAGACCAACTATAGCAAACAAGAATAATAGATTATAAAAATCGGAACATGATGTTCACAGTGGTGGTGGACCGACTAGGAAACCTTTGGTGCTACGTTTGACAGTGACTGAATCAAAAAGTTAAAAATAGATGGGCGGTGGTAACTGGAGTAATACGAATTCGAAATGTACCCTCATAAGTGTAATCAGGTGGGCTGCTACATTGCGCA